GCAAAAGCAAAAGCAAAAGCAAAAGCAAAAGCAAAAGCAAAAGCAAAAGCAAAAGCAAAAACAAAAACAAAAACAAAAACAAAAACAAAAACAAAAACAAAAAATGCATTACGCCGAGTTTGGCGGCTACACCAATGAACACTTAAAAAGCCAGCTTTACAGTTTATCAGTGTCTTTTTTTACAAAAAATAAAATAATTACTATATGAATTTTAAAATGCCGCTATTTTGTTGCCATTATGAGGAGGGTCCTGGCCCCTTTGGCCCTTACTGCCTACGCCCCTGGTGAAGAATGGATTCACTTTACTAGTTGAACAAAGAAAAGCTTCTCATGTACAAAGAAAGAAAGAGTTAAGACATTTACCCTGTGGGGTCGTTCTCAGTGACCCGCTCGAGTATAAATCAGTCCATACTCTACCCTGCTGGCAAAGTCTCCTTTTAATGTCCAGACTCGTACCAAGTCGTCACTCACCATATATATGGTACTTAGTGGGAAGGCGATTAATGCTAGCGAAGGCTTTTAGGAAGGATGGAGAAAAAGTAAGAAGGATTCGCTTTTCTCTTCTTTCCCTTGATRCACCGCGCCTGACTCACAAAATCCTTCCCATCAACCACAGCGCGAGATCAACCAAGCGTAAGAGAAACGACTGGGTACGAGTCTGGTTCAGTTGATAATCGTCGGCACTACGTACATCAAGTCAGTGATCAGCTTGACAAATACAACTACATAATAAAAAAAGTAAAAGTTCTTGAAGAAAGAAGAAATATGCCAAGTTAATCTGATTGTGTAAATAGTACCTAATAAGCTGTGAACGTCCCTCTCAAGTCAGTTGTAATGGTCACTGTCCGATAGTCAAGCACTACCCCTCGGTATTCAGTGGTTCCTGATATGGACCAGACCATACACGCGCGATGGACGTATTTCTATACAAAATTACGTCGTTAAACACATGCAAACACTAGGACATACAGTACGTTCAGTACATATAGACCTTTAGTTTTGGACCCTTTGAGAACAATGTCACTTGCAGAGGCGGTTATTGAATACCTCAACCCTACCCTCTAAATAAGGTCCTAAAAGACGCTAATGCTATGGGCCGACGCATTCTGACCGCTAAACGAAGTCGGTGACCTCCATTTTTTATTTCCTTATTTTACTTCTAGTATGATGTACTTTCATCATGCAATTTTTGAAAAAATCTGACGATGGGATTATTACTGGGTTGCCTGTACAGTCGTAAGATGTCTTTGTTTTTTGTTACTGGGTTACGAGGTTATTCCGGGCGAAAGACCCTTGGAAATAAATTCGGAAAAATTAATTTCCGACCTCGCTGGAAATCGAACCCACGACCTTCGGAAATGTACTACCGATGCTCTACCAGCTGAGCTAGAGGTCAGACTGAGAGCAGGCCGGGGTGAAATAGATGTTAGGTCGCAACCGAAATCACACTTTTTCACGATGGAATTTGTGGCATATCTTTCGTATTTTCATGTTACTCCTCGCATTCAACACAATTTTAAGGGTCCATTTTCAAACAACTGAGAAGGGAATAGGAGGGAACAAATTTTAACTTGTGTGCCGTACTGCAACAGTTATCGACACATCCTTTAGACCAATAATATGTTTTAGTCAGAAGCCAGAAATATTTTACATATGGGGAATTTTTTTTTTTTTTTTTTCAATTTCTGCTGCTAAATCATTGAAAGCAAGCCTGTGGTGAGCGTGCTATTTAACCGCAAACCGCTGGATTCACATGCCCATGCCCGTGTTTCTAACAGCAAGTCTTGCCGTTTCTTTTCCCTTGCCTTGCATTTGTAGCTAAGTTTGGTATTTCTTTTGGATAATATTTTTTCTAATATCCCATCATTCTCATTCCAGTTTTAAAATCGCCGTATATCGTCCTAGGGGACCTAACGTGATTCTCCTGGACCAATCAAATCCCAGATATGGAAATATTCTTGGTCTTCAAAACAATCGCCGCTGCTGTCGCTTTGCGTGGGCTCAATACAGTAGAAGCAACGATCAAGAACGACTCATTTTCGAAGTCTCCCTTCAATTTTGCTTCGTTTTCCAAAGCATAAACTTTATATGAGCATTATATCGCTTGGTATTTCGACTATGATATTGTGAGACGTTCGTGAAGCAGTAAAAATGGCTCTACATTGGATACAACAAGTAGAAGGAGGGCCAAGAAGGGTGAACCACGCCGCGATATCTGTACGTGACAGATTCATCTTTAGTTTCGGTGGCTACTGTACTGGAGAAGACTATTTTATTATCGACAAACTAGACGTTCACATCTTTGATATAGGTGAGTAAGGACCTCGTATGCTTTGAGGCCAGTAGCTTCATTTGACTTACAAATTCTCAACAGCTTTGACTTTGTTCGCCATGATTGTTCGGTATTATAATTTCTAGCAAGTACTTCTCTTGCACGTTTAGATCCCAAGAAGCCTTTAAAATGCTGTATCTCTTAATATGATATTTAAAAAACATTTTCTTCGAGTTTTCTGAAAGTATCGCTTCAATTTTGAGAAGTGTTTGACATTAAAAACAAATTCGAATATTTGAATTGCATCCAAATTATTCTCGTTATTAGGATCAAACATTATTAGCATTTAACGCTGTTTGATATTTTCAATATTACAATGCGTCCTTCCAAATATAAGTGAATTTTTTAAGCCTTGTTTTTCAACGTATTGAAATATTAAAGCCCTTGTTACTTCGCCTCTAAATTGATACACCAATATTGCGCAAATGTTGGGGAAAGAAAATAATTTTACGTGATAGATGCAATGCCGAATTATTTGAGTGATTTATTCTTGGAAGATTTATTAAAGCTGGCCAGACCACAAGCAGGTAACAATGTTTAGTTTTATTCTCGCTGCAGGAAAAAAAATAAATCTGGATGTTACTTGTGCTCATTTAAATGTATAAAAGTAGTTCGAAAACTGCTGCATATCAACCTTAAACTTCGCGAGCGTTTTTGATATCGAATAAAATTACTTGAATTTAAAAAAGAGGTTTGCATGATGCGGGATATACTAGTATCTATTTTTGATTACTAAATCGTGGTCATTTATTTGAAGTTTTAGACCAAAAAATCCAAACAAGCGGAGTTAGGGTTTCGATGTTTAACCAGATTGGCGAGATAGGACTGCAATGTTTGTGAAACTTGTTTACACAAGTTTGAAGTCTTTTCAACTGTTTTAAATCTGTCAAGCTTAACATCTTTTGGTTAGAAAAATGTCTTTAGCATTCTTGGCAGGAGCCTTGTGAACGTTCTAAAAATATACATTTTATATGTCTTGCTGTTTTTTTGTATACATATCKTGAAAGACTAATAATCCAATTATAGCGATTTTTTCCCAGTTTGTTCCATATAAATAATTATAATCTATTCATTACATGTACTCTTTGTCAATGGTACATAACATGAAGTTATTGGGTTACACCTTATGCTTCATTAAATTTAATTTTGACATGCTTTGGTATCGTTAAATAATATCTTTCAGAATATTCCCAAGAATTGCGTGGATAAATTATTAATTACAGTTATGTTGTTATATTTGCAGTAACATGTAGATGGACCAAATTCCCTACCCCTAGTAGAACTGACGAGCAATATGACTGTGTGCCGTACATGCGTTATGGACACAGCGCTGCAGTTATAAATGACGTGGCATATATTTTTGGTGGAAGGAATGATAAATATGGAGCTTGCAACACACTTTACTGCTTTGATACAAGTGAGTTTTTAATACATAAAATTCTGAAAACTATAAATGAGTTATTTCATAATTTTTTCGTTTTTGAAAGCTATGTATAATTTCATAATCTGGACGAGAGAATTGAAAAATAGGAAAATCCACATCCCTACTGATATTTTAAATTACTAATAAAAGCATTTAGTGTTTATGCAAAGGATTATAATTAATCCAGTACACTCATTGGTTACAATCTATGTCTCATGCTGTTATATTCACCTACAGGTGATTATAATGTGCAACCTTGTTTTGTCAATGGTGCCACTTGCAGAGATAAATAATATTTGAAAAAAAACTCTCTCTCCATTATTCATTAAAAAAAAAAAAAAATCTGCAAAGCTTTTCGCTGTTGTATCACAGTGTGGGACAATCACAACAGAGCTAGGCTCCAAACTAAGTGAAAGCCCAGAGATCGAATTAGAATTTAGGAGTTGATTTTTGGGGAGGGAGGAAAGCCGGAGAACCTGGAGAAAAACCCTCGAAGCACAGGAGAGAACCAACAAACAACTTTACTCACATACGACATCAAGATTGGCAGGACTCGAACTCGGGCTGCATTAATGAGAGGCGGCGCATTAGCAGCGCACGCCACCGGTGCTTCCATTTTGTTTCTTTCTGTTAAAAATTGTAAGACAATTATTCACCTCAGGTTCATTGAATATCGGGAAATATTTACTGAGATACTGAAATATTATATGATAATGATATTCCAAATATTTTCATGAAAACTCAACAATAGACTTTATTTTACCAGCAAATTGATCTCTAGTTGGGAGATATACATCACATAAAGTATCAATATATGATAAAAGCACTTTTTGTCTTAGTTAGGACTTACATGCAATAACTCTCCTCATATTTCCATACTGTCATCGTCCTAGAAACAAGGTTGAATTTTTTGTCCTTCTTACAATTCCAAGTAAACAGTATGGGAGTGAATTTCCTTTAGCTATTTGTGAATATGTACAGGAACACAGTTACCTTTCAATGAGGAGGAACCCAACAATATTCATGTTCTAARAGAATATAATTAAGCTTCCTTATGTCTTGTATTTATTCACTGCAGGGACATTAACTTGGTCCAAACCTCAAACCTATGGCTACCCTCCTGCAGCAAGAGATGGTCATACTGCATGTGTCATTGAACAAAAAATGTATATTTTTGGTGGATATGAAGAAGAGGTACAGTATTTTTTAAAAGGAACTACCTGTACAAAAGGGAATCTGAAAATTCCTAAGTCAATAAGCGTTCTATGGCTCACCTCCCCTCAATCGATCAGCTGCCACATCACTACTCTAGTAGTATAGGGAATGGGGGTTCTAGCGCAGTGACCACACGAGGATTTCCCGTTTAAAGTCACTAACCCGTGTTTGCGTAGCCCTCATTCCCTATGAGACCCCCAGGATTACCCGTGGGGGTAACAGCGCACTCGAAATATGTTAGTTTACGCCAGGATTACCCGTGAG